CAGGACTTTAGCGGGGAAGACTAGCCAGATATTGGTCGCTTGGATCCTTAATGAACTGAATTCATTTTTCTGAGTTCTACTCCTTAGAGAAAGACAGTAAAATAGATGTAGCCTTAATACTTCCTAATGAAAGTAGCCTATTTGGTGAATATCCTCATTAATTAAAGGAGTAGGTCCTAGTGCTGATTTTTATTCTTTTAAAAATTGTTTATATACATTTTACATAAATTATACGTGTGACAAGTACAACCATTGTTTTAAGTACAGTCTTTTCCCTCTCCCATTTTTTGCTTCCCTCTTGCCTCTTCTCTCCACTCACATCAATGCTCACGCTGCCCGCCAGTAATCCTAGGTGCTACCCAGTGTGTGCTGCCACGTTTTACTGGAACACCCACACACACACACACGGGATGATAATATACATACTGTAGTGCATCTGCTTTTCTCATTTATTACCTCATGAGAATCTGTCCAAGCCAAGTGTATGGCTCTAAACCATTCTTTTTAAGGCTACAAAATCATTTCATGCTAGGACATCCTATTGCTCTAATGTGGACACTTTTTCCCCAGGATCCATTTATCAACTATGCTGTAATAAACGTCCTTGCAGTGTGCTGTTGTTCCTTGGGGGTGGATTTCTAAGAGTGGGATTGCTGGATCTCTTTGCTTTTTAAAAAAGAGACGTTTCTTTATTTTGCAAGTGACCTTGAGTACTCATTTCTCCTCCCTGGACCTCTGTTTTCTCACTGATAATGCATGCATGTGGAACTAGAGGTGACCTTGAACGTCCTTTGCAGCTTGTTTTAAACTTCTCTGCTTCTGCGCCTGCGCCCACTGCCCTGTGTTTTGCTGCAGTGAAGTGAAAATCATCACTACTGCTGACTCAGAAACAAGCGTCCTGCATGTCTGAGTCTCGGGATTTTGGATCTACATTTTGCACACAGACTAGGTGCTTAGCTGAACCACTGATTTCCAAGTAGACTCTTCTGAAACGCTACGGTGAGGGAAGCTTGCCCTGATTAGTTCGTTCCTCCTTGACACCTGAGGTCCAAAGGAGACCTGGGCAATGACGCTGATTACGAAGCTCTAAGGTCCTGCTGTGTATGTTGAGATCTACCTTGATCTAAACGGGACACACTCACAGCGGCCTCTGTGTTTGAGCACTTTTTCCAAAATGCTCTCCATTTTCTTTATTTTTGTTTTTTTTCTTGGGGGGTGGGAGGAAGTAATTAGGTTGGTTTGTTTATTTTTAGAGGAGATACTGGGGATTGAACCCAGGGCCTCCTGCAAGCTAAGCATGCACTCTACTGCTTGAACTATACTCTCCCCCCTCCATTTTCCTTTAGTGAAGATAAATACTTGATTATTGTGTGACCAAACCACTGAATGAGGAGGGAAAATGTTGTACAATGATTGTCTACTTTGTAAGGCTTTCTATTTTGTGCATGTCTCCCCACAGTAAATCTTCTGGACCAGGGAGAAAGAACTGTTTTATCTGCTAAAATCTGAGGGGCTTCAGACAGATAATTCTTGCAGTCTGCATCATAACAATCACTTATTGAAAGTACACCAGGCAGCTGGCCTCAGTCTAGGTACTTCACACGTGTACTCTCAGTTAATTGTCAAACAGCCCTTGAGGTTGGTTAATACATATTCTTATCCTCATTTTACACATTGAGAATTGCCCCCCAAGGTCACAGAGTTGAGGAGGTGGTGTAGTCTGTCTGCAGAGCCCACATTCTTAACACTGAACAACACTGAGGTGGAATTGGGCGGGAGTAGACAAGTGAGACAAAAATACCGTATGGCTTCTTGACTACCTTGGCAATGTCACCTGAAGCCCACACAGTCCTCGCATCCATCATCTAGAGGAGTTTTAGGTGTTTACGCCTCCCACATCAAAATCACCTGGACACAGACATACTCTGGACCAGAGTCAACACAGACGTGGGCTCAGATCCTGGCTCTGCCCGCTGACCTCAGGCAAGTTTCTTCGCCTGTCAACTTAGCTGGGCAGCTGTTTCTCACCTGCTGCCCGGAGGACGAGAGGAAGCTGGCAAGGCAAGCGCCAGGCTAACAACAGAGCCAGGGCTTGTAAAACTCCGTTTCCTCTCCCTCTCCCCCTCTAGTGCGGAGGAGGGCAGCCTTTTGAACGCAAAAGGCCGCCCTCCAGGCCCTCTCCTGCCTCGGTTCTAGTTTACCCTCACCCCACCGTGTCCTGGCACAAACACTGGCGTTAGGGCTGCCATAGGATGGCCTCCTTTTCAGCAGACTCCCCTCCCCTGCCCCCCATTCCGTCCAGTGGACACAGGTTTTCAAAAATAGCTATTTGCTTAACTGAGGGCTGGGGGGGGCAGAGTGATGGAGGGCAAAATCAATTACTATTTTTCATCCTTGACAAAGTAATTAAGGCCATAGTGACTGGCTAATTCCGACCGAATGGCTGCGCGGTGATGGATGCGGATTTACAGCCCGATCGGCGGCGGTGCCCAGAGCCCGATTATCACTCGGAACAGGCGGCCGCGGAGGGCGGGGTGGAGGCCCGCGTCGGCAGGACTTGAGCCTTTTCTTCTGTTTTAATACTGCGGCGTCGTTCTCCGCGCGTCTCCAGCGCTAACACGCACCCGGGAGCACGACCAGCCGCCCCTGGCTTCCCCGCTCCCCCCCCAGCACGCTCTCCCCCGCCCTCGCGCCCGTACCCCGCTGCCAGGCTGGTCCCCGCCACTCCGCACTCGCCTTGGCTTCAGGGCGACCCCTCTAGGCCTCCCCGCTCCCCACCCTCCCTCGGCTCTCCACGCGGCACCCCCTCTGTAGAATCTTGCGGCTGAAAGTGGCGGGGGCGGGGTAGCCAAAGCAGCGCCTCCGCCACCCACCCCGGAGCCTGCGCGTCAACAGCCTCCCAAGGGCCTGACGCTCGTCGGGCCCCACGCGGGAATCCGAGCGCGCACTTGGCCGGGGAGGGCATGGCGGCGCAAAGTCAGGCCCGGGAGCTGAGCCAGGGCGCGGGGCGGCGAGCACAGCAGTACTCCGCCACCTCTGCCACTTTTCCTCGCTCCCTCCAAAGCCCGGACGTCAGTGCGTCCCTACTCGTCGGTGCGAGAGCTGCACGCTCGGTTGGCATGCGGCACTTTGCGGGGGCGGCTCAAATGCAAATTCTGAAAAGTGGCCCGAGACTATCCAAGTCGTGACTCTCTCTTGGAAGTCGGCCCAAGGCCCGAAGAGGGAGGCCTAGCCTGACCTAGGGGTGCAGCACAGGGCGCGGAAGTCAGGTACTGCAGGCCTGCCCTTTACAGTTCTCGCATCCTGATTTGGCTCCTTGGAAACTGGGAGCTGCTTCGGAAGCAGCGTTCGGCAGGCTCCCTCGGCTTTCCCCATGGCTCCCAGAGTCCAGGGTGTTTCCGAGCACCCAGCATGGCCGGGATTCCTGGCCCCACCTGCTCTCCTGAGCCTCCTTCAGTGAGAGCCCACCACAGTCCCACCCCATGTTCCTTACTCCCCACTCCCCGACGTCGCCGGACTTCCCTCTGAGCGGGCCTCCTGGGAGAGCACGACCAGCCCGAGAGGGCCTGGTGGGAAGGGTTGGGAGATTCTCGAGGGTTCGAAAGTGACTTTCTGAGCCTCAGTTTCTCCAGCTTACAAACTGGGAGTTTCTCAGAGGCTGTTATAAAGGCTAAATGGGATAATTCATGGAAAGTCCTTGCACGATGGTTCAATATTGAGAGCTTAGTAAATGTTAAATCAAAACTACGATAAAAAGCGTCCTGAAGCTCTCAAGAAAGGTCTCTCCATGCAGACTGTGGACCCCCTCGGAGGGGCCAGGCGGCAGAGCCCGTAAGCAGAGGCATCCGAGTGCACTCGGGCGGCTCGGAAGGAGGCGGGAGGGGCAGTAGTGCCTTGGGCGCCCACTGCAATCTGCCGCCGCAGCCTCGCCGGTAGCCTTCGCGGCATTATCCTCCTGCCGCATGGGGACGGCGCAGTCAAGTGAGACGGCGCCGACCCCTAAGGCAGTGGGCCCGGCATCAGGGAAAGAGCAAAGTGCTTTCCGTAGCTCCCCTTCCCCAAAACATGGATTTCCCCCCAGAAAGGAGAGGAGGGAAGCATTGTGCCACGGATCCCCTGCTAGTCTCCAAGCCATTCCTTCTTTGTAAAGGTGTTTCCCCTTTCTTATGATTATATCCATTGCTTTGTACCCGATGGAAAGTCCATCTTTGTATCGCCACGGCTTCCCTCACCCCAGCTACAATACCGTAGAATGTCCTCTTGTGGCATCCCAGAGGGCCGTCCCTGACGCCCGGTTGCCGGGATCGTGATTTGGAGGGTCTCTAAGACCTTCCGAGTCCAGATCTTTCCTGGCTGTGGTGAATTTTCATTGAGAGCGACCGGAAGAAAGAATAGATTTCATCTGACTTTGAAAATGACCTAAGAACCATGTTAGTGTTGAAAATAATTTCCTTTTTTTCTCCATATTTTCAGAGGAGATTAAAAATACAATGAGAATAGTCCTGATTTTACTCAGGAATTTCTCGTGTTAATGAAGATAAAATAGAAATGCAGGTATTAGACCTCAATTTTCAAGCGAAAACCCAAGATTCCCCCAACACTGGTTAACTGGGAAGATGGGCAGTGGGACTCTGAAGTCTGCATACACTCAAGGTGGGTCCAGCCTTATAAACACAGGACCCGTACAGCCATTGTAGATCTATGTCGTTTCGTCCAGACCCTTGATCGCTTTCGGGATAATGTTGCAGAATCCGCTGCCTGCAGATTTGGAGAGGCGGCAACGGGATCTAGTCGAAGAGAAAGACTGAAACATGACAGTGATTTAACTCCTTCCCCTGCGCCCACCTCGGCAGCCCAGTCCGCTCTGTTGGCGGCTGCGCCTCAGCTTGGGTGCAGTGGGACGTGTCTCTCCCATGTTTCCCTTAATTAGGAGGAGGCAAACTTCTGTCATCCCTCCCGCCGGCTTCGGTTTAGTAATCAGACCCACATGAGTCACGCTGAACACGCAGCCCCCTCCTGCCCGAGTGACAACTGGCCAGCGTACTTTCGGCTGTTGTCCCTTTAAAACTCGAATCCAAGAGGGTAATGATTTATCAAACTTGTATTATCAAGAAAATGTCAAACGAAGGGCACCTTGCTTTGCACTGACGCAAACTCGGCCTTTCCCAAGGAGATATAGGAAGCGCCTCTCTTGCTGGAGCCAAACCCAGTCTTGTCAATAGCTGGTTTCACTCTACCCGTTCAATCTGTTGCCCGTTTCAGACATGGTGAGTGTTTGCTTTTGTTCATGTAAGAGGAGAGGGGGCTGCGAGGGTAGGAAGGGCCGATTCGTTTTGGATATTTCTTTCTAAAGTGTTCTATGCATTCTGGAAGGCGAAGGGAGGACAGTTCTCACAGCCGTAGGTACACTGTACTTGTGAGCATCACCTGGGGTCGGGTCGGAGATAGGTTTCTGAGGCTGTGGACCGGAGAGGTTGGAGGAGCCCTCCAACCTCGCTATTCCGGGAACTGTCCTTGGTGCTGAAAAGCCAGGTGCCAGTACTGAAGAGCGTCTCTGTGGGTTCTAGAGGCTATTGAGATAAGAATGCTGGCTGGAGCAGAGGTACTTGGATTTGGTGTTCTAAATTAAGGAGTTCTAATATGTGCATTTGTGAAAGGATTAGACGAGAGAGAGGTGTGTGAAGGTAATATGATTATTCTTGCACTATAATAGTAATTACTGATACTAATATTTAGGAAGCCCTGAAAGACAGCACGAAGGGAGAAAGCGGGCAGAAAAACCACCGCTGGCAGTTATTTTCATTTGAATCTCAATTGGGAGAAATCAAGTTAAAATTAGTCGAGAGTTTTGGTTCCCAAGCAAAAGTGTAGGGGCATGAAAGATGTGAGACTGTCGTGAATTCCTGGGGGATGGGGAGGACCAAAAAACTTTGCCCGTTCTTTTACATATCTGGAAATCTGGAAATGAATGTAGGTTGTGTAAGATAAACCCAGTTACTACCTTATATTTTAAGTCTGGTTTATTACTGTTCTTGTGAGGTTGTCTTTACTGTTATTTTGGTCCCAGCCTTTGCTACCTGGTGGGTGGGGTAGGTTTTGGAACGCTAAAATTTGCACAACCGATTTGGCCTCAAACACTCGCAGGTGCCAGGGCATCAGCTTTTGTGGCCGCAGCTTGTCTATCGCTTATAAAGGCGGAAAAAAAAAAAGCAATGTGCATTGTTGAATGACAAAGGAAATGGGGCGGAAAATTAAAGAATCTTTCTACAATGGTGATGGGGACGTGGGCACCCTACAGCCGTGATTTGAAATCCAAAGAGGACGGGAGCTCATAGCTGTAGGGCTATTTCCACCCTCTACTTCTTCCCTTCCAAAAAACATCTCTGCATCTTAGTTCATCCTCTATTAGGGAGGAGAATATTAGCTTCTTTATGTCATCTAGTTATCGACGAGACAGACGGATTGAGAAGTACTGATTACAGGTTTTCTCGGAGAAGAAAAAAAAATCCAGATTCCAATTTATTCCCTCCATATTGTGTCTGGACTTCAGTTGTGAATGTCTCTATATGTAGATATAGATATTTTTTAAGCTGCTGTGACTTTTTTTTCTTTTTCGCACGAACTTCACGTTGTGTTTGCAGGATTGCAGTGCTTCCAAGGAAATGAATAAACAACCAGCCAACAGCCTGGAGGCGGCAGTGGCGCCGGGCCACCACGATGGCCCGTGCGCGCCCAGGACGAGCCCGGAGCAGGAGCTTCCCGCAGCCACCGCCGCGCCGCCGCCGCGTGTGCCCAGGTCCGCTTCCACCGGCGCCCAAACTTTCCATTCCCCCGACGCGGGAGCCTGCGAGGCCGAGCTGTCGGGAGTGGGGGATTGCAAATTCAGTAGCCCGCGGGCGCTGGCGGCCTCGGCGGCTCTGCGGGACTTGAGCGAGGCGCATGGTGCGCAGGCCGCCCCTCCTTCAGGGGGCGCCGGGCCCGGCAACGCGCTGCATTGTAAGATTCCGGCCCTGCGTGGCCCAGAGGGGGATGCGAACGTGAGTGTGGGCAAGGGCACCCTGGAGCGGAACAATACCCCGGCCGTAGGCTGGGTGAATATGAGCCAGAGCACCGTGGTGCTGGGCACGGATGGAATCACGTCCGTGCTCCCGGGCAGCGTGGCCGCCGCTGCCGCCCAGGTAAGCAGGTCGCGCTCGAGCCGCACCGCCTCCCGCTCCCCAGCCGCGGGAGAGGCAAGCCAGGCCGAGGCGGGTGCACGTGTGCTGATGGGGAGACCGGTTGGCAGTGCCAGGTGATGGATGCGGGAGGCAGCTTTGGGGCTTCGGTAACTCGCGCTGCGCTAGGGTCGCCGGTTCAGGGTGCGAGGGCTGTAGCGACCTTGCCAGAGGGATCTCGACCTCAGGAGCTGCCGCTGCTCTTCCCTTCCCAGCCTCAGTGGTAGCGGAAACCCAGGTGTAGATTCATTAAGCAGTTGAGGCATTTGGATTCTTACCCCTTTATGCAGACAGGACTCCCCCTCTTGCTAACGACTAATTTCTTAGTTTAAAAAAAAAAGGAGAAGAAAATATAGAGAAAAACGTGGGGGGAATAATTCTGTAAGTCCTGTAGCCTTTGCACTGCGAGTTACATTTATCACACGAGAACTCACGTGATGAGAGGTGGTTTACATGAGGCCACTATTAAGTTTAAGCCTCAGGGCAGATCTTTTGCTCAGGGCCCCTTCCAAAACCCAGTACCTAACTTTGTATATTTATATTTATATATATATTTCCCTTAAAGTACCTCTCTCAACTGTATAAGCTTCAGGCCCCATAAACCTGGATTCACCCCTTGCATTTGAGCCTTTACTCTCAACCAGAGGCACAAAAAAATCCCATAGAGCAAATCCCATTCCTGGGTTATGGATGAGACATCTGTTACTGGTGGTCCCTCTTCCATCTCCCTCCAGTCTCGCTCCCTCCTTCCCTGATCTCTTCTTTCCTGTCTTGTGTCACTTACTTCAGCTCTTCCTTCCCCACTGCCACCTTTCCACTGTCTCCTCTCCTCCCCTGGGCTCAAGGGCTAAGCTTGTGAATCCAGCAATGGGGTCTTGAACCAGAGCATCTGCCTGTGTGAAATCTAGGGCTCATATAGCCCTTCTCAGTTTCTCCAGTGTTCGTACACACACACACACACACACACACACACACACACACACACACGCCCACACACGCCCACACTTATCCACACGCACACACAGCAGGACTAGAAAAGAACATAAACCTAGGATTTCCCAGTCACCCTTGCTTTTCGGGTCCACGCATGGAGCGGCCAGCTGTGTGCATTAACTGCCTGTGACAGCCTGTGCCCAACCGTGTGACCCCAGGTGGAGGCAGAAAATTTGTTTCACATGCCTTGCTTAACCTCCGCACTGCGACAAAGGAGCCGGAACTCCCACCCTTTCTAGCTCTGGAAGAACTGGGGGTGGGGGAAGGCTGGAGGTGGTATGTGTAGGGAGGAGTGCAGCGGGATGTTGAAGCTGTTCAGTAGAGAGATCAAGCCCTTCCTTCGCCTGTTTTAGCTTTGCCCACCTTTCTGATTCTTGCCTTTCTGACACCCACTTTCACTCTGCTTCTCTCTCCCCAAGACTTCCTTCCCATCTTGGCAGCTGCTTCTTTATCCTCCATGGCCCGTGGAACAGTGTGGACATGCCAAGTTGCTAGACTAGGAGGTGGAAGGTGACTGAGTAGGTGGAAGCCAGGCAGTGGCTTGGGTCCCTGGAAGCTTTGTGTGATGTCTGGGTGTCCCAGATGTTTTCTGGGTTTATTCAAGATGGCTTCAACCATAGCTTTTTCTGCTTAGCAGTGGAGAACCAGGGACTGCCCCAAGAAAGCATCTTAGTGTGAGCTTGGAGACGTGAGCCTCAAAGACCTATAGACTGCTGGAGCTGAATGGTGCCTCAAGGGATAGTGATTCTGAGCCCCTCATTTTACAGATGGGTACACAGAGGCTCAGAGAGAGCTAGTGGATTGCCTGGGTTTATCCAACTGCGTAATAGTAAAGTTTAGACCAGAACACAAGGTTTTTGATGTCCTGTCTCTTTCCATATCTGCTTTCTTTGTTCTCCCTCTTCTTTCACCCCCACATCTTCCTCCTTCTACCTCCCTTGCCCTAGTGCTGAAAGGTGCCCCCCTTCAATTAGCTGACCAGGCAGATTCTGCCCCTAGGCTTTAGAGAAGGTGAGCCAGGGGCTCTGGCTGGCTTCAGGCATTGCAGCTCTTTTTCTGGCCTTAGCATAGGCTCCAAAAAAAGAAAGAGCTGAGGAAGGGGTGCGTTGAGGAATTTTGGGGGTAGGGGTTTGTTAGGGACGTGCTTGCTGGGGATGATCTAGGCATGATATTGGGGGCCTGCTTGCCAGAGAACTCTGGGTCAGGGATTGGGGATGGGGATGGAGGGACCTGCTTGCAATCAACCCACAGGTTCAAGGTTGGGGAAGGCTGCTTGCTGGTGTGACCTGACTGCAGAACTGGGGAAAGAGGGCTTCAGGAGTCTATGGATCTTCAGATCAGAGTTGGGAGCCTGCTTGCTGAAAAACTCTCAGTGCAAGGTTGAGGGGTCGGGGCCCTGCCTGTAGATGCATCCTCTCTTCAGAATTGGGGTCCTGCTTGCCGATGCATCCTCGGTTGAATAGTGGGGGCCTGCTTGCTGGGAAGGACCCTCAGCAGGGGGGGAGGGGTGGAATGGGGCCTGCTTGCGTACCTACCCGGGGCTCTTATCCGACCATGTGCTTTTCCGCCCCCAGGAGGACGAGCAAGGGGATGAGAATAAGGCCCGAGGGAACTGGTCCAGCAAACTGGACTTCATCCTGTCCATGGTGGGGTATGCAGTGGGGCTGGGCAATGTCTGGAGGTTTCCCTACCTGGCCTTCCAGAACGGGGGAGGTATGGCTTTAACACTCTTTCGGCCTGCGGCATGGTGGGGCGGGCACTTGTGGGTTGGCGGGAGACCCAGAGCCCCAGGACAGGAAGAGCCGAGAGGAGGCTCAGGGCAGCCTCCTCATGCTCCAGCTCCATCCCCTGTAGGCATCTGTGCAAAGTCAGAAGGCAGGAGCTACACAGACTAGATCCATGAGGCTTTTATCTGGAGTTGGAGCTCCGGGAAGAAGTGGGTCCTCAGGACCACCCTCCCGCCCCCCACACTGGTCTAGCCTGATTCACTTGATCATTGACACGAGGAAGTTCAAACCCTAATTTAGCCTACAAGTATTTCCGTAGCCACCACACTCAGAGCACCTAAACGACTTTAGAACCAGGAAATGTGCAGTCCTGGACACTGAATGAAGGATGTCTTAAGATGATAACCTGGAAGTCTGGGCCTGCATAGGAGACACTGGGAATGGGTGCTTGGGTCGTGCGGAAAGCAGGATGCAGGTGAAGCAGGAGGTGGGAGCCTGGAGGGGCTGGGGTTGTGCTCTCAAGAGTCTATTGCTGGGGGAGGGTATAGCTCAGTGGTAGAGTGCATGCTTAGCACGCACGAGGTCCTGGGTTCAATCCCCAATACCTCCATTAAAAACAAATACATAAATAAACCGAATCCCCCCACCTAAATAAACAAACAAACAAATAAGTAATAAATGCTCAACACTGTAAAAAAAAGTCTATTGAAAGTACACACACATGCATCCTCTTGGGCAAGAGCAGAGCATATTTGACTTTAGCAAAATCGTTTAGCAAAAGTGGTTTCCGTTTCAATTGTCCTAACTGGGTGGAAGGAAAACCATTTCTAAATTGGGGAGGATGCCGGTTAGTCAGGCACCAGCTGCCAGGCCTCTAGGATCCAGTGTACCTCTCCTGTCCCCACCGAAGAGGGACTTGGCACAGTCAAGGTCCCCTATGCTTGCCTTCCAAACGTTGAGGTGCCACCTGGCGGGGTTAACTGACAAGTCAAGTCCCCTGTAGGAATAGGAATCTGCACCTAGGATTCCCTTTCACAGCCTCTCAATTGGAATAAAGAGACCAGAAGTGCGTCCCTCTCCCCATCGGGTTAGGCAGCTTCAATTTTTGTTTTTGGACTCCTGGGTAGGCTCGAAGAAGCACAGAGATGAGGGACAGGTGCTGCACCACGTGACGAAGAAAACGGAAAATTATCTTATCACCCCTCCCCCAAATTCCAAATTAGGACACGCTGACAAGTATTTATGAGGAGTACAGAGTGTTTGCAATCAGAGGTGCCCTGGAAACAGAAGAGCGCAGGCTGGCCACTGGCAAATGGGCGCCCCAGCTGTGTTTCCGCTTGATTTTCTGCAGGGAGTCCCCAGACCAGGGCGCAGGAAGTGGGCTGGAGGTGCTGTAATAAGGTTTGCAGTGCCAGGAAGGAAGCAGGACACCGAGGATGGGGGTGGGAAGGGAGTCCCAGTCAAGGGAGCGTGGCAGCTCTGCAGCCCCACTGCTCAGCTGGACACATTGGAAGGGGCCCGCACTTTGCTCGCAGGATCTGCTAAGTGCTGACCAGGAGCTGCGCCCGGAGTCTGGCTCCGGGCCCTCCGCACGGTCCGAGATCGCCCTTCCTCACTCCCAGGAGCAAAAGAGAAGGATTACACAATCCACACACTTCAAAAGCACTTTCAGGGGAGGATTAAGCAAGATGACTGGTTTTACTCCCCAGCAGTCCATAGCCTTCCTCGTGGGGAGAGGTCCTGGCAGGAACAGCCCTTCCTGCAGAAAGAGTGGACAAGAGAAAGTGCAGCTTTCCTTCTGTCCAGCCTGCTGGCATCTCGAGTCCTTGAATTGGTTCTGACTATGCAAAGCATTTTCTGGTCCAAAACTTTTCAAAGATCAGGGCTCTTCCCCAAGCCCTGCCCCCGACTCCCCCAAAACTCAAAGAATCCTTGGAGATAAAGAACCCAGAGAAGCCTCAGCCAGTCTCTGGAGGCCTGCCAGCTACTGTTGCCTAGACTGGGCATTTTGGGGAAGAGAGAGATGAAGGATCAACACCAGGGGCCCACAGTCTAGATAAGACACCCACATAAATATTGCCAAGTGTTCAGCCCCTGGGGAGAGGTACTGTAGGAGGACAGAGGAGGGAGACTTCCTGGAGGGGAGGCATTTGAGTTGCCCTTCAGGGATGGAAGGGACTTCTAAGGCAGAGAAGGAAGTTGAGTGTGTGTGATGGCTGTGGTGGTGAGGAAGGGGATATCCCGGCCACCTGTCTGGCCAAGCAGGTCCAACCCTGGGTGGCAGGTATGCAGGTAACGTAAGCTGAAGGCTCCTGGAAACTACCTTAGCAGATTTTAGATCCTTGGAGGGCTGAGGTGCCAATGAGATTTCACCAGTCAAAGGTGTAGATTTGTTGAACGCTGGAAGGGCTTCATTTGGGGATGTTGAAGTACTAGAATAAGAAAAAGAAAAAAAGAGACAGAGACAAGAATAAAACTCAACCAGTGAATCTCTTAAATGTCCCGGGGTGCCTGTGCTTGAGCTGGAATACCAAAACTTCTTGGAGAAGGAGAGGGAGCCAGCTGCCTCCCTGGAGAGGGCGGGTGGAACCCTCTGGCCTGGACCTCCTGGGGCTCTCACCTCCTGCTCTCTCTTTCCAAGGTGCTTTCCTCATCCCCTACCTGATGATGCTGGCTCTGGCGGGGCTGCCCATCTTCTTCCTCGAGGTGTCCCTGGGCCAGTTTGCCAGCCAGGGGCCGGTGTCCGTGTGGAAGGCCATCCCAGCCCTACAAGGTGAGTCCCCCTTCCTCCCTGTTTCCTCAGCCCTCCCCTGCCCTCTCTGGCACCACGTGGTCCCAGAGAGGGAGATCTGTTTTGTAATCTGGAGAACCCACTCCCTCCTTCTTTATTTGATCCATTCCACCTCTGGGGCCCCCTGAAGAATGGCCCAAGCTCGCCTCTGGCATCTTCTGTTCCTGACAGAATGCCTCAGTGTAGACACAGAGTCCACTCCAGGATTAGCAAATCCATCTGTAAGAGAGCGCCAAGACCTAGGTCCCCACCCTGTACCCAACTGTAAGAATCCCACAGAATGCGATTTGGGTGGAGTGAACCCCTGGAACTTTTGCTTCCGCAGGCTGTGGCATCGCAATGCTGATCATCTCCGTCCTAATAGCCATATACTACAATGTGATTATTTGCTACACACTTTTCTACCTGTTTGCCTCCTTTGTGTCTGTGCTGCCCTGGGGTTCCTGCAACAACCCTTGGAACACGCCAGAATGCAAAGATAAAACCAAACTTTTATTAGGTAAGTTTGGATATACCTACGCAAGGTGAACTATTCATTCATTCATTCATTCATTCAGTCAGTCAGTAAAGATTAACTGAGCACAAATTATGTTTGTCAGGTCCTGTGCTAGGCGCTGGGGGCACAGAGATTAAAACCAACATCAAATTTAGTTCTTTCCAATATTTAAGGAGCTCATGACCTAAAGGAGGGGTACTCGAATTTTTGTTTGCTCATGAATAGCTGGATATTTGTTAAAATGTAAAATTACAAGCCCAGCAGATAGCCTGATTTACTCGATTTGGATGCGGTTGGGAAATCTGCATTGTAGTGAGGTCCTCAGGTGACTCATTTGCATGGTATAGTTTGTAAAACAATGAGATATAGAGTCTAGGAGAGGGATACATCGGTTCCTGGGTCCACATTTGACAAAATGCTGTCCAGTGCATGGGATAAATACAAGAACAGACACTTAGGCTGAGGACCTCTGATCAAAATGTCCATAATGCAGTACCTTGGAGAGAGCAAGGCTGCCTGGGGAGGCGGAGGGTCTTCCTGGAGGATGATCCTTCTGACCTGAAATCCACTGGGACTTGAGGACTTGGGGGACCTGTCAGTTTGCTGGGTCAAAGGCAGGAAAGTGATGGGGAGGAGGAGCACAGGGGCGTGGCTGGCAAGGCTTCTGATCTGTAAGAGGTTTTTGCCCCTGATAGGAGGTGTGTTTGTTTGGGTCAGGTGACTTCTCTTCTCTGGATCTCACTTTTCCTCATTTGAAAAGCAGAAATAATAAGAATCTTCTTCATCTTGCTTACCTCACAGGATTGCTGGAAGGAGAAAAGAACGGGAAGATGTGATAGTAGTTGGGAAAGTATACAGAGAGAAGGTGCTAGCGTCAGTTGCCTTTCATGGGCACCAGTAAGCATGTAGTTTCTTCTTCCCCTGGCAGATCTTTATTCCCCTTAAGCCGTATCTGGCTGAAGTCAGAATCCTGTGATCTCTCTATGATTGATTCTCAGTGTGTTGTTCTCCCAAACCAGCTCTTTCACCTTGACAGCCTGCACACTGCAGAACTAGGACATAAGGCTTTGACTGTGTAGGAGAGAAAGGTGACCCTTCCCTGCCACCCCCCCAGAGAGATGCACATTCTGAAAGGCAGTAATTCACACTGGTGTGTTTTTACACACATGTGCATGTACGTACACACCACATCCAGCCTCCACCTGGCGAGGCTTTGAATGAGACTGCAGGAGAGCTAAAGCTAGAGTTCTGTGCCCATCAAATTCAAACACAGTGCCCCTGAAGTGCTCAGGAATGGGGGGATGGGGATTTGTGGGGTTCCCAGGTGTGTGGCCCACTAGTGGAATGATGAAGTGTACGAGTCCCTAGACTCTGGGCCTCAGTGCCCTCAAAAAGATGGTCAGTCTTTATGCTCTCCATGTTGATGGAGTCTTGACTTAGAGCAGTGGCTCCTGGCGCAAGCTGCTACACATTAGAACTGGCAGAACTAGCAAATCAAGACCTCACTTAAGGTCCACCCCAGACCAATTAAATTGGACTGTCTGGGATTGGAACCCAGGAATCTGTCATTTTACAATTTCCCAGGTGCCCCCAGGGGTAAGGACGGCAAGGTAGGAGTTTGCCCACATCCCTTAATTAGGCTGCCCTTAATGATTTTTGGAGTGGAGTGCCCACCTTCTTTGCCCTGCAGTCCTTAGCAGCTCAGAGTCACCTCTGCAAAGCTGCTGTCCGAGAGAATCCCACTCGGAAAGACAGCTGTTCACAGACAACCAACCGTCTGCTACCAGAATGGATTCCCCCAAATGGTGGCCATTTTGGCAAAGTGCATTTTCCAGGATGTGGGGTCTGGAATGGAGAAAAACCTCAAGGGCACCCCCGTGCCCTGCCTGTCCTTTCCAGACCATGTCTGGGAGGGGAGTCACTTTCCAAGGGCGTGCCTGCTGGAGGAGGGCTGTTGCCTTGATTCAGCCTCCCGGGAAGTTTCCCGGGGCACTTCCCTCAGGGACCACGTGGTCCTGAGCTCTATGGTAGACCTGGGATTTGACCCTAGGTTGCCTGCCTCCCAAGGCTATGGTCCTAACCACCATGTTAAATGCTTCCCAGTCTACAAAGCAGCTACCTGAGTGATGTCTCCATGGTTCCTATTAAGAGCCCTATGTGTGCTGAAGGGCAGGGGACATGATCATTATTTCACAGGTCTAAGGCCTACACTCGAAGGCTTAGAGGGTGGAAGTATCAGGACATGACTTTCAGGGTAGAGCCAGCACAGGGATTTGGGTCTCATAACCAAATTCTCTGCTCATCCAGCATTCTCGAAGTTTCTACCCTATCAGTTCTGGCAGAATGACATCTGTCCAGGTGTCCCCTACTGCTGTTTGTAGCTATGATTCTAGGGGGTGAAAGGAAAGCTTGTTTAAACAGTAGTTTGACTTAGTAATTCCACTTCTGGGGATCCATCTTAAGGGGAAAATTCAAGACAGAGGTAAGGACTATATGAGATTGTTCACTGCAGCCACATTTGCAATCTAGGAAAACGCTAGACACACTTAGACATGTAACAAAAATTCAGTAATTCCATGGTTCAAATAAATTATGGTGCATCCATAGGATGAGGTATTGTATGGTCATTAAAAATAAATATTCTTAAGATGTAGGGAAATTGTCAGCATGTTGTGTTAAATGTAAAAGCAGGATGCAGATTTGTAGTATAATTTCATTTTTACTAACAATATATGCTGGCTAGAAAACATACAGAAAGGTGATACCCTGAATGTTAACTGGTAGATTTGGGCCATTTTTTTTCCTACATTTTCTATCAGGGATGTGTGTTTATTTTATAGTTGGAGACTATGTTTGTATATGTATGTATACGTGTACGTGTATACATATGTATCTATGGTATGTGTTTTATTTATTTATTTATTTTACAGCAAGCTGAGCACAATGGCTGGGCCAGGCATGTGGGTCGGGGTGCCCCTGGTTTTGTGGAATTTTTAGTCTGGTTCACACTATCCCAGGGAACACAAAAGGCAGAGTAAAGACATTATATAGCTAAGCACGTTGTTGTCGACTGGTACAAGCCATAAAAACAATGCAAGCTCTGAGCAGAGAGAGACAATGGACATTTTTCACTCTGATTAGTCCCTGGAATCATACGGACAGGCCGTGCAGACCTTCTCTCATTCTTAGGCAGTGCTTTAATTTTTTGGGCTTGTTTGTTAAAAATGGGGGTGTCGACCCCCCTTTCTTGGTTCAGCCCCTGCATCTGTTCCTCACGGGGTCATCCACGCATGACCGTGTCCCATTCCTGGGGCCAGGCGACCCCTTGCAGAAGTGTTGATCCTTGGGGCCCTGGGATGACTTAGAAAAGGGGGTGCTGGCCTGACTCAGAGACACAGGCAGCTTTGTGGCCCACTGCTCTACCGGACAAGACAGGTGCCCGGACAGCAGGGTCTCAGGCTGACTCCCACGTGGCCATTCTGAGATAGGCTTGTTTAAGAAATGGAAAAACTCCCTCCCTGGTGCAGTGTTCCACAAATGACCTTCCAGGCTCACCCCTGTCCTCACAACCCGATAACCACCCTACGCTATTACAGAGGACGGCGGGTCCCAGGAGAGTGGGGTAGATCGCCTGCCATGATGACCTTCACTCATAGAGGAGTTTATCCCGTCACCCCGCAGCTCTGCTGGGGACATACTGCCAGGGAGCCCTGCCTCACCTACTGCCGGGGATGCCAGGACCCTGTACCTGCCCCAGCCCCGGGCAGAAGCCCTGGTGCAGTCCATCGGTAGAGGCTGAGTTTGCCACACATTTCTAAGGTGTAGGTTGTAAGAGAGGTGGTCTGTCTTGGGGGCACTCAGCCCCCCCAGGTATCTGTAATGTCTAAGGGCTAATCCATGCCCTGCCGAGTGAGACCAGGGACTGTTCTGTGAAACTGGGAGCTAGCTGGGTCATTTCAAGTGGGAACAATATAAATACCATTTCTATTTCTGGAATGGCTTAATTTTCATTAGAACTTTAATTAAATGGTTCCTTTTCTCCCTGGCCTTTCCTGGGCTTTCATTTATTAATCATTGCCCGCGTAAAGAGAATCCCATTCGAACAGCTTCCAATTCAGCACGATCCTTATCGCCGTTCTTTGTTCAGGGTTGCTGGGCCGGAGCTCACTGATGGTCTTGGCCATTATTTCCTTTGCTGGCAGACCTGGAGGCGCAGTGCGCTGGGAAGCACGCTTCTGCCGCCCAGTGGCAGGAAGGGATATTGCGGGAGGCTCGAGGCTGCAGGGAGCCGGGCTGCAGTGCCGCAGGAATGCAGGAACGCTGTGACCTTGCGCTGCAGCAGCGAGCGAGCGGTGATCCAGAGAGGCTCTCTAGGGATGCTGCTCGCGTGCTTCTCAGTGGCAGTTTTGGAAGCAAGCGATTTATCGTTTGCCCGCATTGTTTGCGATCTCGTCCATCTTAGGGGATGGACGTACTTTTTGGCAGGAGGGCGAGAAATAACTTCTGTGCTTTACATACAGAAGAGGGATGTGGATGGTGCTTTGTCTTCATTCAGGTCGCTGCTGGGGGAAGCAAATGCTTCCTCAGTAAACAGCTGATAGTTATTGGGTCAGAATCCCCCTGAAACTCTTTGTTATTTGATTAAAGAAGATAATGCTGAGTAACAAGGTATTTTGAGGACTCTGAAAACGGTGGTTCTTGAAACCTGGAGACATTTGGCAATGTTTGGGTTGTCACAGCGGGGGGAGGGGGTAGATGCTCCTGGCATCTAGTACACAGAGACCAGAGATGCTGCTAATACCCTGCAATGCACAGGACAGCCCCCCGACCCCCACCACAGAGAATTTTCTGGTCTCACGTGTCAGTAGTACTGCCGTTCAGAAAACTCATGTCTGAAGAACTAGTCAGAGGGAAGGAATTCTTATAAGCACAGTTTTAAATTTTATCCAGTATCCTGAGATATCCTGGGGCGGGGGGATGTGCGGGAGGCAGGAGATAATCTATGGCTGGCAGGTGGGATGAGAGACGATGCTGGGGACTAGAGATGCTCACCCCATGAAAAGGTATAATAATGATGGTTGCGTTATGGCTAAATTTTATTGAGTCCATCTGTGTGCTAGGTATTGCATGAAATTTTTTCATTCACAGTCTCACTTAATTTGATTCTTGCAACAGACTTCAAACTAGATACACTATTATGAGGCTTGGACAGATAAAGGAGTTTGTCTAAGCTCTCAGGGCTAGAATTCCTGAACCCATACATAGTCTTACCCGCTTTACTGTTCCAGAGGCATAAATTGTGAGTCCATGCACCAGATCTAGGCTGCATCTGCTTTTTAATTTTCTTTTTTTTTTGGTCCACAGTATTTAAAGACAATTTGGCCTTATTTCCAAGATTTTAAAATGGAGACATTTCATACAAATATCCGGATTTTCTGCATCTTTTTATCAAAACACCTGGAAAAGCATGACACTGATTGGCTGGTACAGTTGTCCCTCAGTATGCACAGGATTGGTTCCAGGGGCCCTTGTGGATACCAAAATCTTTGGATGCTGAAGTCCCTTATATAAAATGGCATAGTTCAATGAAAACAGTATTCAGCCAAGCACCACTGAAATTTCAATCTGCAGTTGGTGAATCCTCAAATGTAAAACACGTGGATACAGAGGGCTACTGTATGCTCTGTTTTGCCACAGTCCTCACCACTCCTTTTTACCTTCCACTTTATATCTTTCTTATTTGTGTCACTAACCTGGTTTCTGAAGGTGTCTGAGTTTATGTTCCCTGCTCTCTGCTTCCCAGTAGAGTGGTTCAAAGCATGGTCATCAAAGAGGGACTGTTCGCCTCCTGGTTCTGCTGTGTGACCTTGGCAAGGAAACCACACTTCTCTGTGCCTGGTTTCTTTATCTGTAATATAGTGATAATAACAATGCCTGCCTCACGGAGGTGACGTGAGGCTCAAATTAGGTTCATGCATTAAAGCACTAAAAACGGTACAGGGTAAGTGACTAGTGAGTGTTAGTTATTGTTGTTATTGTTACTTCTCATTCCTTTATAAGATAATATCCTTTGGCATTAATCCTGGTGGGCTCTTTACCGAAAGTGTCTGTCAGGCTATCAGAGAGACATTGTAATATGGTCAGAAGGACTTCGGTTTCTGCCTCATTTAAAATGAGGCACCTCGCAGGTTTTATCAGACTTAATAATGGATAAAGGGTCCAGCATGGTGCCTGACAGACGAAGACTCACCTGGCGGTTCCCTGTCCCCATCCCAGCCTGGGTCAGGTTTCTCACCCTCAGCACTATGGACACTATGGACAAAAAAAAAAAAAAGTGAAAAAAAGAAAATCAAGTGCTTGCCATGTAGAGATGCTCCCTCATTACTGGGCATTGCTGGGGATACTGGGGGCTCTGGGATGAATAACATACAATTCTGAAGTTCATTTGCATCAAGGTTTGCGCCATTAATGCCTTTCCAAAGTTACTCTTCAATATTTGGCAAATGTTTTGGCTTTTGTTTTTCAGTTGCTAGAAAGATACAGGTGTCTGTTTTCTGTACAGATTTCGCTGTGTTTTCATTCCGTCCTCTTCTAAACAGATTCCTGTGTGATCAATGACCATCCCAAAATACAGATCAAGAACTCAACTTTCTGCATGACTGCCTATCCCAACCTGACGATGGTTAACGTCACCAGCCAGGCCAATAAGACATTTGTCAGTGGGAGTGAAGAGTATTTCAAGTAAGATTTTTTTTTTTAGCTTTCTAAGAGAAACCCAGTGAATTAGTGTCTATCCAGTTTGTAGACTAGAGGTGTGAGTGGCCTGAGGGATGGGTGGCCTCCCTCTGCACCCTCCCTACCAGCTCAAGTGATCAGGGAGAAAGATTTTTTTTTCCTCTGGTTTGGCTTCTGAGAGCAGATTGCTGTGCCCTGTGGTCCCAGAGAGGAGAGGTGGCTGATTGCTGGTGGGGACAGAATTGGTGCTTGCTGCTCTAACTCATGATGTTGACGACAAAAGCATTGCTAAACCTTCATCCGCTCTGATCTAAGCAGACCTTCAGTTAACTAGGTTTTGTTTTGTTTTGTTTTGATTTTTGTCTGCATTTGTGAAGGAAAGAGAGGCAAAAAGTAAGAAAACAAGTCATAGTCAATGATGTAGTTTAAAGAAATAATTCTTTCTATCTCTCTTTCTCTTTTAAAACAATTGTGTCTTAGTTTTGTATTTTCTACCTCCATTTTGCCAGGCATTGAGGAGTGAGGTTCAGGGATACTAGGAAATCCTCAGCCACCATGGGAAGATTCAATAACATTCATGGAGCAAAAAAAGAAAAAAAAAAGAAACAAACAAACAAAAAAAGAAAAAATATTCATGGTATTATTTAGTAAGGGAAGTAAATGTAGACAGACTTCAACAGAGGGTAAATAAAGAACATTCTCTAGTTAAGCCTTAGGTTGGGGGCTGTAAACTCAAATGGGCTCAGGGGCTTGGCAGGGAGGTAAACAATAGAGAATGGTGGGGACTGTGGCAAACTGGAGGGGATGTCTGACCCATGTAGGGGAGGTGCCAATGCTCAGCTCTAACAGTCCCTGTTTTGTGGGAGCATGGGCCAGTGCTACCAGAGCTTCCATTTTATAAGAAAACTTGGAAATAAGGTATGGATTTTGGGGTGTCTCTCCCACTTTAAATGTTAGCAAACTAATTCAGGTGAAACACTGGGGTCAAATAAAATGCATTTATCCGTACACCCTTCATTTGTGGCCTTCACTGAGATAACAAGCAGTGTTACTACTCCCCCCACTAGTTCTCCCAAGTGCCGTTAGTTCCGCTTCCAAATTTTCTCCCCTCCATGGACTCAGGTACACGGTTGTTTGCTGTAGAACAGAAGGGGGGGTTAGGCTGAATGACGAGATGATCCCCTTCGAAGAAGACGTAGGAACAGTGAAGGTGGGCCTCGATTCTCCCTGAGCACTGAGAAAGGAGTCTGACCTGCCGGTGCAGGAAATCTGACCATGGAATCCACGTGTCAGGTGAACTGTAAAGCGACTGGCAAATCTGCCTTTGGTGGCTTTACTAACCCTCTGGGACCAATCTCAGTTTCCAAGAGGGGGTGTTATCAGGAGCGTCTTGGGACCCGTCTGAGGTCTCTCACTGGATCACAGAGTAGTTGACGTGGCCGAGGTGCCGTGGAATTGTGGACCAGATGGTTTGCCCATGGTGGGGTGGGGACATGGGTGGAGGCTTTTCATTGCTTGGGAACGATGGTCCCTAAGATTTGGGATCCCAGGCCAGTTCCACCCTTGGTCACTTCTGCTCACCTCGTGAGCTCAGGGTGCCTCTGAGGTTCAGACTGAAAGGGGCTCTGTTCCTACAGAGTGGGGCTACCTCTGTTCTTGTGTGCTGCAAAATGGCCTCTCACAGCTGCTCACTAGCTGGCTGGAGGGCACGTTGCCAGCTAGACCAGGAGGGGTGCTGCCTGCTTCGCCTCCCTCAGCAGGTCAGGACACTTGGCCATCATTTCTGCAGTCCTGTAGAGTCTGGATTCTGGCTGACCCTTGGTTCCAGTCACACAGACATCCTTTCATCCAGGCTGCATGACTTGATTGTTGCACAGTTGACAGATTGTCTCCAGTCTGTTGTCCTGACTCACAGTCCCTGCAGCTGCCTCCTGTCCCCAGGAATGAGGCTGCCTGCCCGCCCCTCCCTGGCCAGGGATGTGGGGGTCGCCAGGCAGGCCGGGAATGCAGCACACACACTGGGGCCAGCGGCCACTCCAGATGAGTGCCAGCCCCTGTCTGCAGCGGGTGGTCTGCTTTAGAATATACCCCCTTGAGTAAGGCTCATCCAGCCCCTCTTTTACATTTTAACCAACCTCAGCCCTGGAACATGCGCATCGCAACTTGAACTAGAATGCACAGCAGCGTTTTTAGCCATTTACCATCAGCACCCTGTACTGCTGTTTTAAATTTAAAGCTGTACAAATACGATTGGAATACATTCTCATAAAAGAGTGGAACAATACAGAAAACACACACAAATCGCCCTGGACAGTTGAGAGTTTCTGTTAGTGGTGTATAAAGACATCAATCTCGTGATGCCCATTGTGGGGGCTGCACCAGGACCCCCGACACTGTTGGGTTTCTTGCCTGGCTCCTGGGGCAGCTCCAGGTGACTGTGGAGCTGGCAGTCTGGGTCAGAGCCCGCCCAAGGCCACAAGTGGTCTCCCAGCACATAATTAAAAGCAAGGGAAATTCAGTTGGTCTCACTGCAAAAGGGGTGGGCAGGAGCCCAGATCAGCAAATCCCTCACAACCTGATCTGATCAGCTCCCTGATGGGGAGGGTGGAGGATGCTGGGGTTTTGTTCAAGGTTCCTGGCTCTGCTGGAAGATAAAGCCTGCAGGCTGTTAGCTGCTCCTCCTCCTGACCACCCTGCCCTCTTTCAACTCTTAGGTACTTCGTGCTGAAGATTTCTGCAGGGATTGAATATCCTGGCGAGATCAGGTGGCCACTAGCCTTCTGCCTCTTCCTGGCTTGGGTGATTGTGTACGCATCCCTGGCAAAAGGAATCAAGACTTCAGGAAAAGTAAGAACTTGTTTTTACCTGAGAGAAAGCTCTGGGACAGCCAGGGCTGGTTGTATCGTGGGGCAGCCAAAGAGCACTGGAGAGAGAGTCGGGAGATGTGGGCGTGATTCTGATTCGGGCCCTGAGGAGCTGTGGAGCCTTGGGCGAGGGACTGCACTCCTGTCTGTAAAATGGGATAATAACACCTTTTTTCCCAGGTGGTTTTAAGGATTAAATGGGAGATGTTCTCAGGGCTTCTGATGGATGGTGGGGGCCCTGAGGTGAGTTTCCTTCCTTTCCAGTCAGGGCCCCTTCGTTCAGCAGGCGGGGCTCCCCGATACGAGTCAGTCTCTCTCCTAACTCTAGAACTGGTGCTGCTGGCTTTTTGCTTCTTGGTCTGGCTGCCAGCTCAGTCATCGCTCCTCCCAAGAAGCTGGGAACAGATCAAAATTCAGATGTGGATTCCTTCTTCTCACTCCCAGCTACCCTGTTTTCTGCCTTTCCAGCCCTTTTTCGAACTCCGAGCCCAACCCTCTCCACCCTCCATGCCCTCCAGCACTAAAGGGTGATAGTCCTCTGCTGGGCTTTAGGTCGAGCAGATGCTCGGCCCCTCTTGCTGGGCAGTGGCTTGGCTGGCCCTTCGGAGATGGTGAAACTCCCGCCCTGAGCTCACTTCCGAGGCGTGGAAGGCAAGGAGGCCTCAGGACACGCTGCACATTGTGATGAGGGTCATAGCGTGTTCCCTCGACTTCCTGCTGCTTTAGAAAACCCCCATTAAACAGTGGACCAATCACTTGGATGGTAACCAATAGTATCTAATCATCCTAAGAGTCATTTGCACATTTCAGAATAAAAAGTAAAATGTCTTGAAGGCTCAAGGAATGAGAATGGGATGGTGGACTCTGAGACCACAGGTTGTGGAGTTTGACTCGGGTCAGTTGCCCAGGCCAGGGCTTAACTGTGGTCACAGGTACAAACAACCGGAAGGATCAGGCCTTGAGGAGGCAAGGGTCTGTCTCACCTTCCCGGCCTGCCTCCCACCCCCACCAGGCACCCAGACCCGGCAGCCATCAGCCCCGGAGAGCAGTCTTTCTCCTCCCCGAGCACATGAACGCGCTCGCAAGGGCTTTTGATAACGACTCTTTCAGGGGCCCTCCAAGTAGTCTGGACCCACAGGGACTTGAACAGGGGATTCTAGCAGGTTGGTCAAGGTCACCTGAGCCAGGTGACACACTTAAATCACAGCAGGTGCAGAGAGAGAGCCAGACGGGGTGAGGAGACTGGGTTCTAGCCCCCAGGCCTGCCAGTGATGTTTTCTAAGTAGGGACATCTCCACGTGGGCCGTGAAACTTGGCTGAGCTTCCAATTTGCTCTTAGATTTTGTTTTATTTTATTTTATTTTATTTTATTTATTATTTTATTTTATTTTATTTTATTTTATTTTATTTTATTTTATTTTATTTTATTTTATTTATTTTTGCCTGTAAATGGAAAGCAGACTTTTTTTATCTTAACTATTTCAAGAGCCCTTGGTTTTCTTGTTTCTAAAAGTGAAGGCAGTTGGACTGGGCGATGTCTAGGACCCTCCAGCTCTAACATCGTTCTGCTGAACACTTGCTGGGGAACTGGGGGCCCTTTTCCTCTCTGACATCAGTCTCCCCCTCTGTAAAATGGGAGCCAGGGTTGCGTGACCCCTGCGGACCCCACTGGCTCTGAATGAGTGTTAGAGACTGGATGGGTTGTTTTTCTAGGGAAGTGTTAATGTGACCCTCACAGTAACACCCATGAGTCTTGAGATTTCCTGGACCTTATTCATCTTCCACGACTTAGAACCCAGCTTGGAGTGGGAGTAAAGGACCAGCCAGGCAATTGCTTAGCAAGAGTGACCAAGTATTTGCTCAGCCAAACTCGAACTGACAGGACCATCACTTATAGCTTGAGATGGAGACAGGACAAGGTCAGCCATAATCAAAGTGGGATAGGCTAGAATGTATGACTGGCAGGAGAAGAGGTGAGAGGTGAGGAGGGGAGAACAGCAGCCCCATTGGTGCCATGAGGAAGCATGGCCTGGTGGCTTTAGTCAGACCCATCTGAGTTCAAATGCCATCTTCATCACTTTCCCGTGGTGTAACTCTGACAAGTTGTTTAACCATTGGAACCTCGGTGTCCTCATCTGTGCCAAAAGGATAATGGTAGCTACCCTGCAGGTCTGTCATAAGACGAAATGGCAGAATGCATATGCAATCCCTCGCATCTTGTCAGTTCTGAATTAACATTAGCTCTTTTCCTTTTTGTGATAATGACTGACTGATGTATTAAATGGGGGTGGTGCCATGCTGACATCTCAGTGAAAGCAGTGGTTCTGGTGGGGAAATGGGAAGAGAAAGGGAGCTTTGTGGAACCTCCCATGGGCCAGGCATGGGCTGACTGCTTTGCCTGCATTAGTGCCTTCAATCTGCCCAACAGCCTGCTGGGAAAGCACATTTCATCCTGTTTTATAGCTAGAGAAACTGAGGCACACCAAGGTTGAGTCAACTGCCTGAAGTTACACAGATTTTAAGTGGCAGTTGTGGGACTGAATCCAGGTCTGTCTTCCTTTAAAGCCTAGACTCTCTCCACTGTGTGACATCCTCTCACGAGGAGGGGCTGTTAGGAATAGATGGAAATGCAGAATTCTGGAGTCCTCATTTGCATCTTGTGGGGAATAAAAACTGCCCCCTCTGTGAATCAGGACCTCCTACCCCACCTACTGTCCTCAGCTGTCATTGCCGGCTGGGCAAGTCCCAGGAGGCACCTGGGCCTCATATTCTGCACCTATGAATTCAAAGGTTAAAATAAATATTTTCTAAGATCCCTCTTCGCTTTCTTAGTCTGTGAATTTGGGGGGATGGCGTTAGAATTGGTTCTTGGCACTGCTTTAGAATTTAACCCTTGGTGCTAGATTTTATGGGCTCTCTGGAATGGGGCTTCTTTGTGTAGCCCTGAGCAGGTAAGCTTTTCTTTGAGGTCTGCTAACTTATCTTTCTGCTTCATCGAGAAAGGTTTCCAACAAGGGATCAATGATTAATTTTTTTAAATGAGGAAGGCCACCAGAAATAATGCACCCCAGTTTATTGTCCTGCCCCGGGGAGCACAGACACTGATCAGGGAGCTTTGTCTGGAGGCTCCTCACACCAGGTGCCTTTATGATTGAATTTCCACGAAGACTGTCATTTCTAAGCAACAGAGAGGTCCTTCTTCTCTGGCAGCAAGATCAGCTCAGTTCCTCTTGCTCAGGGCCCTGGGTGATGGGAGTGGCCAGCTGCTTCCTGTGAGAGCTCAGTCTCCCTTTGAGCAACTAGAATTCCAGAGGCTGGGGTGGCCAGTGGGCAGCCCGAAGGTCAAATGCAGCCCCTCTGACCTCGGGGGCTGCTCTGCCTGAGAGTTCTGGCAACAGCACAGAGCTAGCCTAATTAGCTAGTGCAGGCTGGGGGAGGTGGGGGGACCGGCCTTCCCACCTGTTTCCGGCTCCCATTGTGAGGACGGTGCTGCCAGGTGTCAGGCCAGCAGGCTCAGATCAACTAGTCTTTGTCAGTCCTGCCAAGTGTAATTCATTACTGTTCAAGTTTAATTCCTCTGACAGTACATCCCAGAACAGGTGCATTCTGAAGCCCCAAGACATATCAGATCTGTGACAAAACCTCTGTGTACACCTGACTCACATTGGAGGCATCCCCAGGATTTAGAAAGGAAACTGTGTGCCCTTTCATTTCACAGCAGTCACCATGACAGAGTGAATGTCATCATTCCACACACCAGGGGTTGGACCTGGTGGGGCGAGCAAGTACCTGGGATGTGCAGTTTAAGGGGGTGCTCACTCTCAGTTCCTGCAAGTGCGGGGTTGACCCCTGAGAGCAAGCGCCTCCTTAAATCGTGCATCATGGGTGTTCACTTGTCTCACCCTCCTCCTGGGCCATCTCACACATTTCTGATCACATGGCCCAAAGAGTGGCATTATAGGTAAGGAAAGAAGCTTTGGAGTTAGAAAGCTTCAAGGTGAGATCTTGGCTCCAGCTAGGAGACCTTAAGTGAGATGCGTAACCTGAATCTCAGTTTCCTCCTCTGCAAAATGGGATTACAAAGAGCTGGTCCATAGAGGGGGCTCCAGAAATGGTCGGCTCTGAACGGTCTCCCGCAGTCAGATGGGGACAGCGTCTCAGCCAGTTAGACGGGGGCCAGTCTTGGGGTCTTCTTCCTGCCGGCCCTGTGACCAAGATCATCTTCTCTCCCTTGCTTCCTTCCAGCCTCACTTCCCGCCAGCCCCACGTGTCAGGAGGTGAAAAGGACATTCCTTAGTTGTCGCCCTGCCCCTACTGTCTTGGTGCGGTGGGGAGGTCAGACCGGTCAGGGCCCGCCTGGCCCATGTAGTGTTCCTCTCCCCGGCCCTGTCCGCCAGCTGGGAGGACAGCCCGCGTCATCCCGCGGTGGGTGATTTTCTCCCGAGATGTCCGATGCCTTTGGGTCTCGTAATGTCTGTGCAGGGACGGGTCTCACTTAAGGGGAAGGAGAGAAGCAGGTTTTGGGGGGATAGGAGGGAGCAGGCCCCCTGTAATTCAGGGCAAGGGTCAGGGGTGGAGGAGGGGGTAGACCGCTGTCCTGCGGGGCAAGGAGGAGGTCCCCTGGTCAGTGGTGGTAGGTAGCAGTGCAGAGAAAGGAGACCAGCCCGTCCCTGGTCTGTAGAAGGAAGAGTTTGACCTTGACAAGTAATTGGGTTTGGAGGAAGAAATAACTCATCTTTCCCTGACCTGCAGCCTGTCCCATTTCTGCTGATGGCAACTCCACCCATCAGCTGCTGAGGCCGGAAGCTTTAGGGACACCCTTGACTCTGTTCTCTCTCTCTTTCTCCCACATTAAATCGGCCAGGGAGTTCTGTTGGCTCTTCCTGTACAGTAGATCCGGTGTCTGACCATTTCTCCCAGCTCCCCAAAACACCCCAGACGGAGCCATCGCTGTCCCTTGCCTGGGTTGCGGCCGTGACCTCTGGACTCCTGCCCCTGCGGTATCCTCTCAACCCAGTAACCTCCTGGTGGTTAAAGTGTTAGATGGGGTCACTCCTCTGCCCAGATCCCTGTGGGGGCTCCCCATCCCCTCCCCACCCAAGGCTCCATGAGGCTCCCACGTCTGCACCCCGCCCCCACCCCTCTGACTTCCTCTCCCGCAGGTGCTGCCTGCCCAGCCACCCTGGCCACCTTGCTTTCCTAGAATCTAGGCACACTCCCTTCTTAGGGCCTTTAGTCCTATGGTCTCCTCTTTCTTTAAGAAAGGTGCTATTATCCCCAGTTTCCAGATGCAGAAACTGAGATTCAGAGAGTTTGTCCAAGGTCTCACAGCTAGCTACTCAGTGCCAAAGGTATGATTTCATTTAAACGTAAATGTATCTAATTCTAAGGTCATGGTTCTTTCATGTCACTAGGCTGCCTGGCTTAGGGTGTGTGTATAAACAAGGTTGGAAATCTTAAGCTAAAAGAATGAAACTCTAATGGTGGAATCTGGGGCCTCAGACAGAGAATGGGCCAGGAATCAAGGAGGAAGGAGGCACGGAGCCTTTCTCCTTCGGTCCTTGGGGAGTTGTCCACTTACACTCTGCAGGCTGACTCACCCCACAGCCTTGCGTGTCCCCCTCGGGACTTTATTTCTGTCTCTCCCTGACTCGACCAAAGGTGAGTCAGTGCCTTCCCTGTATCCCCAGTCCTGACAGAGATTGGAGGAAACTACCCTGATATCCTCACCATGAGGCACTTGTGTCCAGGTGGCAGGTCAGACTCTGCCTCTGTTGACGCTCCTAGGGTCACATTGTGCGGGTCTGCTCATTCCTGCCCCTCTGTCGGTGGTTTTCCAGGTGGTGTACTTCACGGCCACGTTCCCGTATGTAGTGCTCGTGATCCTCCTCATCCGGGGAGTCACCCTGCCCGGAGCCGGCGCTGGGATCTGGTACTTCATCACACCTAAGTGGGAGAAACTCACGGATGCCACGGTGGGCTTCTGATTTCACTTCTGATACACCCGTGGGGGACCGGCACACAGGAATGGGTCCTGCTCTGGGACGCTGTTTAGCAGAAGGGGTCAGACCTCCTCCCACGGGGTATCTCACTATTTGCCTTTACCAGGTCCTGATCATCTTGGAACGTTAGGCTCTCAGGAAGTCTTTAATGAAAAGTGGGCAGCTGGGGGGTTTTAGATTCCTGGAATAGTTGTCCTACATCTGGGCTTGCAGTGGAGGCTGAAAATGAAGAATGAAATTCCCTTAATAGCTTTGGCCACCTCGAGCCGCTTGTCTGTTGCTAATTATAGTGCATTGGAAATGGAGTTTTGCTGGTTAGAAAATACAGCACACAGGCAAAGCACAAGCCATTGTAATTTAAGGGGCCCCAACATTTGAACACTTCTGGCACACCCACGCAGAGCCAGCACTCACTTATCTTTTCAATTTGCATATTCCGCACAGGCCTATTTGACTCTAAAATTCCCAACCCAAAAAAACTCCAAATGAGGGGATGATTATTTAATAAGAAGTGAGTTTTCTTATAAATCAATTATACTTCCATATATATAAAGAAATGAATTTTCTCACCTTAAAAAAAAATCTGCTTTACCAGAGTATGTTAAGAACACATAGCTAGGATTGAGTTTGATGGCACAGAATGGAAAACCTTCAGATAATGGCAGCATAAACAAGATAAAAGCTCATTTCACTTGTAGGCACTAAAGCAGCCCAATGGCAGATTGTCAAGCACTGGTTGAATGGCTCCATAATGTCCCAGGTTCCTGTCTTTCTACCCCACCTTCCTCAGTGAACAGCTACCATACGGCTGCCAGAGCTCCAGCCATCATATTAGCATTCCAGGTAGCATCAAAGAGTGAGGGGAAGGGACAGAGATAGGCACCCTCCCTCTTTGAAAGAGGAGAAAACCCAGAAGTTCCACATAAAACTTGATTTTCCCATCATTGGCCAGAAACTAAGTCATGTGACCATCCCCTCTTATCTGCCCCTCCCCTTGATGCTGGGAGGTGGTCATTTGTCTGGACATAAGGTTGCCTTTAAATAAAACCACAGCTCTGTTTTTAAGAAGTGTAGGAGAATGGAGGTTGGGGTGGACACAGACCTTGCCAGCACACACTTAAACTTTCTCTTTGCATATTTAAAGCATAATTTAAAAACTAGATTTAATTTATAAAAATGATAGGAGGTCCATCATCAAATCCTGTAAATCTCTAGCTCAAAGTCTTTAGTAGCCTTCTGGAGTTTTGTGAGGATAATTAAGAGAAATCATCAAAGAGCACCAAGAGGTGTTGTCAGCCATGTTCAAGAAGGAGGTGGCACTATAAAGTCCACACTGCTGTGGCACAGAGCTTGCTTTACTTAAATGAGGGGCTACAGAATTTCAGATTTCCAGTAAATTGTAATCGGTAGGAGTGTTCATTTCAAAAGGTTTGTATTGTGTACCCGTGAATATTTGTGCTGTTGCAAATTGGTTTTTTGAGTGTTTCCAGCTAAAGAAAGGGCTCTCCTCTTCTGTGCAGTTCTACATGGTAGGACATGCGAGCAGGAAATGTGTTGCTTGTTGAGCTCGTCCCCTTTGATCAGAATGGAGTTAGAGTCTCCCAGGTGTCTGCTGCCTTTATGGCTCCTAGATAAATGATGTATGTTTCTCATTTATGTTGGCGCTAAAGTCATCTTGTCCTGAGTGCCTCCCCCCACACCCCGGGAAATGGTGTGGCTTTGGGCACGGGAGACTTCCCCTCCTCTGGGCCAGCCTCCTTCAGTGACCTTGAATCTTCCCTTCTTTTGCATCCCAGGTATGGAAAGATGCTGCCACTCAGATTTTCTTCTCTTTATCTGCTGCCTGGGGAGGCCTGATCACTCTCTCTTCTTATAACAAATTCCACAACAACTGCTACAGGTACGTGGAGGCACCTCAAGTCCTGGAGGTGGCTGGGGAGTGGGATCAGGGCCCAGGGACAGAACAATGGACTGGGTTATCAGATGCCTGAGGCCACATCCTCACATTTCACTTGATGCAGAACCAGAGAGCGGCCTCTGGCACAGGGGAAATCCCCTGCCAAGGCCTAGCTGCTGGCTTCAGGTGGCCTGGACCCCAACTTGCATCCTAACTCTGACACATCGGTGGAATTGAGTCTCTCTGGAGGTGCTGTGCAGCTGGCTGTGTCCTGGGATAGTCATTTGTGAGGTATCTAGTCCATGGATTCAGTTGTAGTGTGGTCACTGATTAAGTTTGGTCATTTGGTCACTCAGCAAACACTTTTCTAACAACTTCTATAAGAAAGGCAGTATGGTACAGTGGAAAGAGCACCTTGATGATGGCTGTGTTAATTGATTTGATGGTGGGACTCCTGTTCCAATGTATATGTGTGTCACATTATCATGTTGTACACTTTAAATATATTAAAATATATTACAGTTTTGTCAGTTATACCCAAAGTTTTGCAAACGTTAAGTACCCCTCTACAGATTTATGAAACAGAACATCAGGAGGTGGGGTGGGCTCAGGAATCTACACATCCAGACAGGACCCTCAGGTCATTCTGATCCTTGGGGTGACATTTGGATAGTGTGATGTTAGGAGGCTCTGGAACCCTATAGACCAGAGACAGCCTGGACAGCTCCTGGAGGAGGGGGCGTTTGGAAGTTCAATACATCTGCTGCAAGCAATAAGAAAATGAGGTTTGTTCTCCTGAGGAGCTGATTAAAAAAAGAAAGGAAGAAAGACAGAAACTTGGAGACAGACAGACATGAATTTGAATTATGATTTCACCATTTTCCAAGGTATTTCACTTCTCTGAACCTCTGTTTTCTCATCTATAAACTGCAGATTATAATATTTTGTTGAAGGGTAAGAGATGATATATGCAAAACTCTCATGGCAATATTTTGCACATAGTAGGTGCTCGAGAAACAGCAGTTGCCATTCTTCTTCTTTTTAATCATGTGTGAGATATTCTGTGAACCAAGAGGTAGAGAATATAGTTAAGCTGTGGCCTGGGATGGCTGGGAGGGCCTCACAGAAGTGGCCTCTGTACTGGGCCAAATTTCAACGGGGCAGGGGAGGAGGGACTGTGTTCAGGTTGATGAAACAGCGAGAGGTGGGACTGAGCGGAGGTGAGAGGGAAGCAGGGGTGGGGGGCAGGCCGATGGGGCCGGAGCAGGGGTGTGCTCACAGGGCTGGGAGGAGATGGGGCCTGAGGACCGGCTGAGGCCGGCCTGGGGAGCCTTCGTGTTAGTTTGCGAGGGCTGCCGTAACACGTGCCGCCGAGTGAGTGACCTGAACCATGGAAGTTAATTTCCTCACAGTTCTGGAGGCTGGAAGCCCAAGGTCAAGGTGTCGACAGGGTTGATTTCTTCTGAGGCCTCTCTCCTCGGCTGGTAGCTGTCCGTCTTCCCCCTGTGTCCGCACATGACCTTATGCTGTGCATCCTAATCTCTTCTTACAAGGGCATCAATTATATTGGATTAGCGCCCACTCTAACGACTTATTCTCAACTTAATTACTTGCTTAAAGACCCTGTTTCCAAATACAGCCACATTTTTGAGTAACTGGGGGTTAGGGCTTCATCCTGTACATTTTGGGGGCACACATTACGGCCTGTAGCAGCTGGAATGCCAGACTGAGGTGTCTGAACGTCTTTGGTCAGATCTGCTTGTTAACTTATGACCCATGAGAACCAGTCTGAGCACCGTCAAAGGGAAAGCACTGCTCTGAGCTTTGTCAGAAGTGAGGCTGTGTGGTGCGGCAGACAGAATACGAGGCTGCGGGGCGGGAAGTCTAGATTCAAATCAGGACCCACCATTAATCAGCCCATTACCTTCCCCTGGGCCTCTGTTTCCCCACCAGGAAACTAAGGGGCCAGACAAGGTGGGTCATGACCTGAGCACTTGTTCTGCACAGTGCACGCCTCACCTGGTCCTCACAACCAGTGAGGGAGGTGCGGTCACTGCCACCATTTAAAATCGGAGTGGAAAGAAAGTGACGCAGTCAAGGTCATGCCTCTAGCATGTAGGAGAGCCAGGATTAGAAGTGGGCCCCGCGGCTCCATCTGGCTGTGCCTCTCTGCGGGGTCTAGGATGGACAGGGCAGGCTGAGAACTGCAGCCATGTCGCCAGCAGAGGGCGCTGGGATGGAGGCGCTGGGCTCTCTCCCCAGCCCTCCACCCTTGCCCCAGTCCCAGGCTATCCTCTTGCTTGGTGACATTTCATGGTCCCCTGCCTTCTCTTCTGTCATACATGGTTCCTCTCCTGGACTTACCAAAAGGCCCCATTCCCTCCATTTCTGCTCTGATGGGCAGAGCTCTTCCACTGCCATGAGGGAAGACCTGGTTCTACAGCAGGGGAAGCCAGTGCCTTGTCCCAGAGGCCCGGGAACAGTGCAGTTAAGGGAGGGAAAACTTTTTGAGTCTTCCAGTGTTTATACAATCAGCTCAAGGGAGCCTGTGGTCAGGACCAGTTGTTCCTTTCCTTGTGAATAACAGCAAACAAGACCAGCCTACAGTGGATACCTGTTTAGCAATGGGCATGGCACACACACGTGCATGTAGACACACGGGCACACATCCGTGTGCCCCTCCCTGTCCTTCCCACTCACAAAGCACACCTAATGACAAATCTGTCTCTTCCTCCCAGGGACACTCTAATCGTAACCTGCACCAACAGTGCCACGAGCATCTTTGCCGGCTTCGTCATCTTCTCAGTGATCGGCTTCATGGCCAATGAACGCAAGGTTAACATCGAGAACGTGGCGGACCAAGGTACAGTGCGGTTATCACTCCGCCGTGGCGGGACAGCTTCCGCTCACCTCCTGAGCTCCTCATTTGTGCTCTGCTAGGAAGTCGGCCTCCTGGAACAGGCCGGAGGGCGGGACAGCCTAGGTTCCCCTTAGTGGAGGGACTCAGAACAGCTTGAGTCTGATGCTCATGCAGGCTGAGAGCTGGCCGGTCCTTACCCAGAGGGGTGGCTATAAAGACCCCTTTCCTCCTTCCCTCTCCTCTCATTCCTTCTGTCCTCTCTCAACTCAGCTCCAGCCTAAGTAAGTCTCCACCTGTGAGGCACGGTGGAGGATTCTCTAGGCAAAGCAGCGCTCCTGGACGTGGGCACAGTTCGCTGCAGGGCGGCATTCCTTGCAGAGGGCTCCATAGGAACCGAGCAACAGCACTTAAAAACAGCAGCCTTTTCCTGAGGAAGCACTGTCCTGATTGTTAGGTCAGATGTGCTCTCAGGGCTTTCTGCTTAGTTAGTGATGCAGACCTGCAATATTTTTTCCCAGCGGGTGGAAAGGTTGGATGGTGGTGGTGGGACGGATGTATAGTAAATGTGTACTCTCTGCCCACGTGGTCCCCATATTCCTGGCTAACATTTGTATGGTCCCTTTGGTGTGTACAGAGAGCTTTCATTTTTTTATCCCACTTAATCTATATTTCTAGCACAGTATTTCATAGAGTGGATTTAATACATTTCTTTAAACGTTTAATTTCCACCCAGCCTTATTCTACAAAGGATTTGGGTGTTTAGCAGGTTTCAGTGATTAAGGGGTTTCACTGTGGCTGTTGACAGTCTTTAGGGTCATTCTCTACTCAGACATTTATGGGATGCCTCCGTGTTGGGACTGTGTCGGGGTTGTGGGGACAGGACTGTGGGCCCTAGACCATCCAGAGTGTGGCCCCGTGAGTGGCTTCTTCATGCAGTTAACTTTCTTCAAGGAGCTCACTGCAAATCTCAGATAATGGCTCAGATGCCAGCATGAGGGAGAACTAAGCCCTAGAAATGTCACCTTCTTGGTGGGCTGCTGGCTCTCCTCTGGCTCCCTAGGGATAATTAATTACTGCCTCATCGACGCTGATGGTGCACTGCTGGGCTCAAAGAGTTAAACAGCCAGCCTGTTCCCAGGGCATAACAATCTCTTCCTGGAGAGGGTGTGGAACCCCCAGGGATTTTAGTTCTGCAGCCATACACTGAATTCCAGGTCCTGGAGCTGAGCAAATGCCCTTCCCTGGTGGAAAAATGTAAAACTCCTGGGGAGCAGGTAGGGGGCAAGAGAGAGAGCAGCACAGGCTTGTCTTCAGGGCACCCCTCCCCACCCCTGCAGCAGCCCCCTGGCCCTGCCTGCTGAGCTGTCTTCATTTTCCCCCAGCAGAGCAGCCAGAGCAGGTAGGTTCTGCCCCACTTTCTGGAAGATGTGAGGTGTGTTGCTATTTTTGTCAACCGGCGGCCAAGTTGCCAGAGATGTGGCCACATTAGTTAACTCTTCTGAGCCCTTTCCTGCCCCAGGAAAGGGATTTGGGGGCCCCTGGGCCAAAACCCAAAGCGAATTTTGTTTTCTCTTTACATAAAAAGCATCAGATGAACGGCCCGTGTTTCCCTCGGAAACTTCCCCTTTTCAGATTTTTTTCACTTGCTCGGATTTTAATAGGGAGAAGAGGGCTTCCCGCAGGTTCTATGTGTTGTGTTAATGCTGTTGACCCTTGAAAATGTGGGGGGCTGGGGCGCCGACCCTCCACGCCGTCACTAATCCACATTGTAATTTATAGTCAGCCCTTTATAGACATAGTTCCTGCCACCCCGCGGTCCCTCTGCATCCATGGGCTCCTCCGATCCCGGATCCTGTAGTGCTGTTGTGTTTACTGTTGAAACAAATCCACGTGTGAGATTTGTTCAAGCCCGTGCTGTTCAAGGACCTCCTGTACTTGGTAGTGTCTCACTGTCACCAGCACAGGGACAGTGAGCCTCACCCCCCAACAGGGGAGGGGCAGTGGCCCATGAGGTCTTCTCCCAGACCCCGGTGCGCAGCTAACCCTGCTCATCTGAATTCGCCTAGGATCTTACAGGATTTGCAGGCTTGTTGGATTTCCCCCGGTAAAAGGGAGGCTCTGCAGAATACAGGGCAGGCCTGCATTAGGTGGCAGCCCCAGTCCCTCCTCACTGGGCGACACTGGCACATAGACATTCAGTCCGTTTTTGCTGACCCAACATTAGTAACTATGCATTTTGGTCTTTAGTCAAAAGTAAGTTCTCTTTGATGACCTAACACGATCCTTTGTAAGGGAGGCATTACTGTCAAAGTTACTACCCCAAATCTCAGTCATATCAGAGCTTTTGGGGTGAGGATGAGATTGGTGATGAGACCAAGCTCTGCTTTTACAAGGGGCACAGGGAAGGGGGCGTGGCCTTCTCAGGCGTCTACTCGGAAAAGCAGCTTTCCAGGACGTCAGCCTTTTAGTCACTTCCCAGACACCTTCATCGCCACCTGTGGAGCAGTGACTGACGGTCAGAATCCAACCCAGAGCTCTACCAAGATGCTCATCCCCCAACAGCAAAACAGTAGAGGGTCATCAACGTGCATATTGTGTTCAGAGCTCCGGGTCTGGGTGGTAGCTGGCTCCCAGGTAGCCAGGCCACTAGGAAGTGCTGCCTTGGCCTCTCACAGTTGAGAGACCTGGCTGATCGAGATGAACGCTCTCACACCAGACTGACCATCCCACCATCTGTGTCACCTGGACGCCAGTCCTGCCAAAGGCGCAGGGGTTCGGTGGTTGTGTCTTCTGAGAATGCCTCTGTATGCGGTAGGTTTCCCAGCACAGTGGCCACTCCCCATGCACTGTGGGTCGTGATGGATCCATCCACAGACCAGAGCCCCTGGTGGTTTTCATGGTGGCTCTCTACGACCAAGGAGGCTCTCACCATAGGGCTCTGGGGGCCCTGTCCAAGTTGCTGGCATGCTGAACCCTTCGGGACCCGCTCACAGGAAGAGTAATAACGCCCCATGCTTACTGAGTTCTCGCCAGGCCCAGGCACCGTTCTGAGCCCTTTACGTGTATCCACACACTTAATGCTCACAAACTTCAGGAGGGTAGTAGGTACTACTGTCATCTCCATTCTCCAGATAAGGAAACTGAGGTCTGGCCGGAGAGGTAGGTCTTAGCTAAGGCCCCACATCTACTAAGAGGCAGAGCCCGCTCTCTGAGCCTCGGTGTGTGGAGCATGCGCGCCAGCCGCGGGGCTGTACCGCCTCCGGGCAGGAGAGGGAAGGGGCGGGACTGGGCCTCCGCCACACACGCGGGCCTCGCCTGGGGAAAACGCCGCTGCGGCTCAGACACTCCTTTTGAGAAAGAAAGACAAATCCAAACTCTGCAAAATGTTGCCAAAAATGTATTCTAAAACTCCACTCCCCAGCCATTTCTGACAAACGGAGTTTGCTGACAGCGATGCCTTTACCTGCGTACTGTAGTGTGGCGGCTGAAGTGGGGGGAAGTCAAGTGTTTTGAAATCGTTCCCCACCCTGAAAAAGCAGTAAAGCCCAAACGGCTGAATCCTGTTAAAGCAATCCGCCGAGGTCCTCGAGCAGGGGCTGTTTCAAGACCTCCGTGTCCACTTTATGGGCCTGAACTGAACCAGCTTCCTTGGTGCTCGGGGCACTGGGCTGGCCTGCTCAGTGCACCTGTTTCGAACTGCAGTTTAACACAGACTTTTATGATTCACAAAGGGAACCTTCAGAGGCTGGTTCTACCGTCTGCTCAGTAAATGCATGAGTCGGGTGGCGGGTGGGAGATCTCAGGCATTCCAGGCTTTATGTTTTAAATACCCAAGGCTCTCAGCAACATTAGGAACTAACAACCTGATAAATTCCAGTTTAAAAAAGCGTTGTTATGCTTGAGTTATAAAAACTCCAGGTGCCGCAGTTTCCGGCTTCCGGACGTGCCCTGGCTGTGGATTACCCTGGCGTTCCCTGGTCTCTGCCCCTTAACATCTAGTTTTCTATTTACAAGGAAATTCACAACTGCTTGGTTTTTCTTTAGCCGTCTTCTCAGTGAGGCTGCGAGGCAGATAGGAAGGGCTGGCACGGCTTTAGGTTAGCAGAGAAAACTGAAGCTCAGACATCCTTCACCAAGACCACACTCGGTCTTCTTGGGGAAATCGGAGTCAGAGCTGCCCGTTTCCAAATGCATTGTCCACTCCTAAGAAAAGCTAATATTCTGTAAGTGCTGATGAGTGGGAGGCACTGGTCTCAGTGCTTTACCTGCATTTCCTCCTTTGTTCCTTGTAGCCCCCCTTGGAAGGAACTGTTGTCTTTCCCATTTTACAGATGGACAAGATTGAGGTTTATAGGAATTAAACAACTTGTGTAGGGTTGCACAGCTGTTAAGTCATGGAAGTGAATTTGGAGCCAGATCTGTCTGACCATTGGAGCCCAAAGCTCTTAACCCTTACATTAATGCTTCCATCTCCCCCACCTAATTACCTATGGACTGATGTTGCCCCATCTTTACCAAGTCTTAGGTAAAGATTTTAAAAAGCATTAGTCCAGTCAATTCATATTTTATGTAAATGGTTTCTTCTGGAAGAAGGAAGACAGGTAGCAAAGGGGAAATGATGTCAGTTCTGGGCACGTTTACCCTTTATAAGAGGGTTTCTCAACCTCAGCACTGTCAACATTTGGGACAAATAATTCTTTGCCATGGGGACTGTCCCGTGCATTGAGAGACGTTTAGCAGCATCCCTGGCCTCTACACACTGGACACCAGTCATCATCCCCATGACATCCCAGCTATGAGAATCAAGAATGTCTCCAGACATTGCCATATGTGCCCAGGGAGGGGCAAAATCACCCACTGTTCTAGAGGGTAATTATTACATTCTCCACCAACTCATCATTACAAAGATGAAGGTTTCTGTGTGTTATTTGCATGGGACATAGCCTGGCCTTGGAGTCTACTCAAGGTGACCCCACGTCTCTGATCTGGCACTGTTTTTGAGCCTCTCCTATGAGTTCCCTGAGGTGTGGGCCTAATTCCCTGGTCCTTCTTTACAAGGAGATTGAGGTCTAATTGGGGAAATGGATGGACAGTAATAAAAACATAACAAACAGCAGGAGCAGCATGTGATAGTTAACAACTCAGGACTTCCGTGGAGAGAGGGCCCTGTGGGCTTCCAGGAAGAGGGGGCCTGGAGCTGAGCCTGTCTGCAGTCGTCTGTCTTGTTCCTTCCAGGGCCAGGCATTGCATTTGTGGTTTACCCGGAAGCCTTAACCAGGCTGCCCCTCTCTCCATTCTGGGCCATCATCTTTTTCCTGATGCTCCTTACTCTTGGACTTGACACTATGGTGAGTTCCTTCTCTCTCTTCATTCCCTGCCCCAGGCTCCTTCTGAAGACCCTCCCCTGGGTCCTGCATGCAGCTTATGGCAGGAGGTGGGCTTAGTGGAACTTGAGCGTTTCCCCAAGCAATGTAGGGATGGTGCCGTACCTGTCCAGGGTGCAGGATGGCCTTGCGTTTGTGGACGACTCAGGAGAAGGTGCGAAAGAGCCATCCTCCTTCCCTCCCTCTGTTCTCTGTGCAAGTTTTAGCCTGTGCCCTTCCTGCTTTGGTGTCATTTTGCCAGAGTACATTCTATGGGGCTGGATAAGGGAGAATAATATGAAGTCCGTTTTAGGGAAACTGCTGTGGGGCTGAGGCTACTACAAATCATGCTGACAGGCACTCAGAGTCTGGTAGTTGGGTGCAAAGAGGGTTCTTCCTCAAGTAAAAGATCAAATGCAATGTAAACGGGAGGAGAGGAATTTACATCTCATGAATACAAAGTGAAGCCTGAAGTGTCCTAATGGGGGAGTAGGTGTGCAGTCTCGGAGGGCTGGAAACACAGTTCTGAGGCTCACATTCTGCTTGGATTCCCCTCACAGGCTTTGTGAGTTGAACTCCAGCAAGGTCTTTAAGACTCGTTGAGGGAACGCATCCCTAAAACCAATCCTCATACAAACACTGCTTTGCCTGGTGGGGAACACAGAGGGCTCTTTGGAGCCTTGGGGGCTGAGTGGTGTGTCTGAGCTGTCCCTTTCCTGGAACCGTTCCAGTTTGCCACCATCGAGACCATAGTGACCTCCATCTCGGACGAGTTCCCCAAGTACCTGCGCACACACAAGCCCGTCTTTACTCTGGGCTGCTGCATCTGTTTCTTCATCATGGGCTTCCCGATGATCACTCAGGTAAGCTGCCTGCTGGGCACAGGCTTGGGAGGC